ATCTGTGTTGTAGGAGGAACTACCAGGAAGTCATTGTTGTACTAGTGGCATTCCCCTGATAAAATAAGCATCTCTCTAGAAGTTTTAATCTCCTTGTGAATAACACTGTGTGAAGTAATACTATTTAAGTTCCTCAACATGTCAGCAGATACTGTTTCTGAGGTTGCCACACACAAATATTCATGTAGTTAAATGGATTTACCTTACCAAAAATGTTACTTTGGTAAGTATTATATTTGAAACCCTAATTGTGTCCCTTTAGGAAACTGGTTTGGCCAATCCATGGTCATTACTCACAGTACTTTAGTTTATCTGCCAGAGAACCATAGTATTTTCTTTCCGGGTAAACTTATTATTGAAATTTAGTATACATACAGAAAAGAGTATAAATCTTAAGTGTACATCTCCATAAATTTCTGCAAAGTGGGCCCTCCCATGAAAACAGTACCCGTTATCAAAATAAAAGCATTTCTATGTCCCTGTTAGGCTTCCTTGTGTCCCACCTGAGCCATTCTCTTGAGAAAAGGCGACCAATATTCTAACATCCATCCACATAGGCAAGTTTTGCCTTTTTGAACTTCAAATAAATGAAACCATACAGTACATGCTCTTTTGTGTTTGGCTTTCTATCATATTTGTGAGATTCATTCATGATGTTGCATGTATCAACAGTTTATACTTTTTCATGACTGTGTAGCATTCCATTGTATCAATATATCACAGTTTATCCATTCTACTGCTGAAGACTGTCTGAATTGTTTCCAAGTTTTGGCTAATTAGCATTCTTGATATGTTGTTCACTAGATCTAGTACTCATTTCTATTGTGTATATACCCAGGAATGAAATTTTTGGGTCATAGAGTAGGCATATATTCACATTTACTAAATAAGCAAAAGAGTTTTCCAAAGCGATCATTTCAATTTACAGTTCCTCCTGCAGTGTCTTAGGATTCCTGTTGCTCCACCTCCTCACCAACACTGGGGAACGTTAGTTAGGCTGGTGGGTGTGCAATAATATCTCACTATGGTTTTAATTTCTACTTCTCTGCAGATGCCTAGCAAATCTTTATATGAATATTCATTTGGATATTCTCTTTTATAAAGTGACTGTTCAAACCTATGACCCATTTTAGAAATGGTATTGTCTCTCTCTTCCTTGTGGATCGATAGGAGTTCTTTATATATTATGGAGGAGTCTTTTCTCATGTACAAATATTGAAAATACCTTCTTCTGCTCAACATCTTCCCTTTCTGTGACTTAATGTTATTTTTTGGTGATGCAAGTTCTTAATTTTAATGAAGTCCAATTTACAATCCTTACTCTTATTGTTTGAGCTTTTTATGCCCACCCCAAGGGAACAAAGTTATTCTCCTAGGAACTTCCAGAAATTTTATTGTTTTGCTTTTCACATTTAGGTCTGTGATCTACTTACCTGGTTGTGTAAGTCCTCCAACTTTTTCTCCTTCAGGATATCTTTGGCTATTTTTGGTCTTCTGCATTTCCATCTCCATTTTAGAACTAGCATCAATTTCCACAAAAAGCTTAATGAGAATTATAATTGGAATTGTATGGACTATAGATCATTTAGAGATAATTTATATCTTAATATACAAGATTGCACAATTAAGTTCACAAACTCATCCTAGAAAAAATGCCTCACACCTTATTGCTGAATATCACTATGGTCACCTTCAAAGTACTCCCGTTGGGAATCAATACACCAACACCAGCGCATAGTCCACCCTTCAAAGCAACTTTGGAACTCTTTTTCTGGAATGGCCATCAGAGCTGTCGTTGTATTACCCTTGATGTCCTGAATGTCATCACAGTGTCTTCCATTCAATATTTCCTTTATCTTCGGGAAAAGGAAGAAGTCATTGGGGGCAAGATCAGGTGAGTAGGGAGGGTGTTCCAATACAGTTATTTGTTTACTGGCTAAAAACTCCCTCACAGACAGTGCTTTGTGAGCTGGTGCATTGTCATGATGCAAGAGCCATGAATTGTTGGCAAAAAGTTCAGGTTGTATGGGCTGGCCGAGTGGCTCAGTTGGTTAAGAGCTCGCTCAAGAGTTTGAGCTCTGCGCAACAGTGGTTCGATTCCCAGCCCGAGCTGAGCAGCTGCTGAGCTGCCAACAGGTGGCAGGATGGCCCAGCTTAAAAAACAAAAACAGTTTGGGTTGTTTAACTTTTTCATGCAGCCTTTTCAGCACTTCCAAATAGTAAGCTTGGTTAACTGTGTGTCCAGTTGGTACAAATTCATAATGAATAATCCCTCTGATATCAAAAAAGGTTAGCAGCATCGTTGCAGCAAGTGCGCAAATGTAATTGTCAGAGTTAAGACAAATGTATGTTTATATTTGTCTTACAAAACAGCTATCTGATAGATATGTGTCCAGAATAAATATCTTTATTTATCTCACCATCTCATCACTCAGTAATAAAAAAAGCAAACAACTTAATTTAAAAATGGAAAATGTTTTGAACAGACATTTCAAAGAAAATACACGAATGGCCCCCAGAGCCTGGAGTCCCAGCCAGTTCCTAGCCTAGTCTTTCAGTTGCCCACCTCTTCTTCCCTTTCAATATGACAGATGCCGCTGTGTCCTTTGCCAAGGACTTCCTGGCAGGTGGGGTGGCCGCGGCCATCTCCAAGGTGGCAGTAGCACCCATCGAATGGGTCAAACTGCTGCTACAAGTGCAGCATGCCAGCAAGGAAATCACCACAGATAAGCAACACAAGGGCATTATAGACTGTGTGGTTTGTATCCCCAGGGAGCAGGGAGTCTTGTCCTTCTGGCGTGGTAACCTGGCCAGTGTCATCAGATATTTCCCCACCAAGGCTCTCAACTCTGCCTTCAAAGATAAATACAAGCAGATCTTCCTGGATGGTGTGGACAAGAGAACCCAGTTCTGGCGCTACTTTGCAGAGAATCTGGCATCAGGTGGTGCTGCTGGGGCCACCTCCTTGTGTTTTGTGTATCCTCTTGATTTTGCCCGTACCCGTCTAGCAGCTGATGTGGGCAAAGCTGGAGCTGAAAGGGAATTCAAATGCCTCGGTGACTGCCTGGTTAAGATCTACATATCTGATGGGATTAAGGGCCTGTACCAAGGCTTTAATGTGTCTGTGCAGGACATAATCATCTACCGAGCTGCCTACTTCGGTATCTATGACACTGCAAAGGGCATGCTTCCAGATCCCAAGAATACTCACATCTTCGTTAGCTGGATGATTGCACAGTCTGTCATGGCGGTGGCTGGGTTGACTTCCTAGCCGTTTGACACTGTGCGCCGCCGCATGATGATGCACTCAGGGCGCAAAGGAACTGATATCATGTCCACAGGCATGCTGGACTGCTGGAGGAAGATTGCTCGTGATGAAGGAGGCAAAGCTTTTTTCAAGGGTGCATGGTCCAATGTTCTCAGAGGCATGGGTGGTGCTTTTGTGCTTGTCTTGTATGATGAAATCAAGAAGTTCACATAAGTTATTTCCTAGTCTTTTCCCCTCATCTGAACAGGCATGTTGTATTATGTAACATATCTTGAGAGCATTCTTGACAGACGGTTGGCTTTCTATTTATCAATGGTATCTATTTTACTGGTTGAAAATGGGAAGCAATAATAGTCATCTGACCAGTTTTCTCCTAAAGCCATTTCCATGATGATCATGGGACTCAATTATATTTTTTATTTCAGTCACTCCTAATAAATACTAAATTTGAAGAAATAAAAAATATCTGAACTATAAAAAAAGAAAATACATCAATGGAAGTAAGCACATGAAAAGATACTCAACATTATTAGGCATTAGAAAATGTGAATTAAAACCACAATGAGATACTGCCACACACTATTTGAAAGGCTAAAATTAAAAAATAAAAATGACAAAAGCAAGTTCTTATGAGGATGTGCAGGAACTGGGACTCTCATGCATTGCTGGTGGGAACGCAAAAATAGTACAACCAGTTTGTTTTCATTCATTTTAATAAAATGATACAAGATGTTGTTTTGTATAATAATAATAATTTTAATAAAATTAGTATTAATTTTATTTACCCACACATTTACAATATCTGTCACTCCTCATTACTTCTCATTTTTCTGTATTGCTTTCTGGGATTGTTTTTTTTCTACTTGACTGACTCTCTGTAGTACTTTAATAGCAAGGCTGCTGGTGACAAATTCCCTGTTTTTGGTTGTCTGGATATATATTTATTTTGCTTCCACTTTTACAGAATATTTTATCTGCACATATAAATCTGGGCTCACAGGTTTTTTTTCATACTTCAAATAATTAATTCCACTGTCTTCTGGCATCCATTGCTTCTGTTAACAAGTCAGTCATACATTTCATTGTTTACGTGGGTTTCTTGGCCCCAGACTTTTGAGCTTTTTTTTTTTTTTTTTTTTATGAAACACATGTTTTTTAGAATTAGTTTCAGCTGCTCAGCTCAGGCCAGGAATCGAACTGCTGTTGCTCAGAGCTCAAACTCTTGAGCGAGCTCTTAACCAACTGAGCCACTCAGCCGGCCCTAGCTTTTGAGCTTTTTGCTTTACAGTTTTTCCTTAAAAATAAATGTTTGGAAGAATGAATTGGCATTTAAAAATAGGTCCTTTTAGTGTCTGCTCCTTTGACTCCACTCATATTCTTAATACAGAATGATTCACATTAAGATGGTAGAGTTAAGATAGTTACTCTTCTCAGCCCCAGTCTGAATTACTTTCAAATTTGTTCCAAAAGGTGGTTTTGAGATTGTAGGTTTTACTCTGATCATTGTTCGTGTGTCTCTAGAAGTTCCATGAAATAGGTACTTTAACCTGAAAAGTGATGGCTATTAGATTCCCATTTGTGTCCAATTCTCAGACCCAGAGATGTTCCCGCCTTGAATATCTGAAAAGCTTTCTGAGGTGTCATTCCTTTTATAGGGAAAAATACCATGATTTAATTAATCTGTGCTCTTGGGTTTGTGTCTGTGTGGTGGATGTTTTGTTGTGTTGTTACAGGTTGATGAAAAGCCCAGAACTTTGATGACAGAGAGTCTGGTTATAAAGAATTTTTTACGAAAAATAGTCATGGTGCACCCTAAGGTAAGCTGTTCTTTTGCATGGTAATGATTCTCTTGTTAAGTCATAGATTTTCAAGAAAACTTTACTCTGTAAAAACATGGAAGGATGTGGTTGGTTCTCTTTCTTTTAATGACCATAATTACAACTTTTATTGAATTGATTTTGTTTCTATGTCCCTAAGGCAGTCTTGATGTTGGTCATGTGACATAGTTGAGAGCCCTCGATATAGAGAGAGGTTTCTTTTGGGTTCTTATTTTCACTTCTTTACTGTTTTATTGTATCACTTTGGGTACTTCTTTTCCTTCCTCTTGTTTCTTTTTTCTGTTAAACCTGGATAATAAACCTTGCTGATTATCTTCTTTTATAAAATGACAGTAAAAGCAAATAAGGAAATTTTGATAAAGTATTTTGAACTTTGGAGAGCAAAAATTTTTTTATTATCTGTAGTTAAATATGTCTATAAATATGCACACAGTGAAGTATGCTATATAACTTCTCCTTTTTTTCACCTCTTAGCTTCCTACTTTTTCTGTTGTCAGCAGGGTTCAGTGCTTAATGTTTGTCAGTCACTACAATATGTGCTCTTCACACACTCATTCAGCCTTCATAACACACCTCATGAAGTGGGTTTTATCATCATCATCATCATCCTCCCCCATTTTTATAGCTGAGGAAACGATGGTACAGAGGTTAAATAACTCACAGAGCGGGGATTTGAAAACAGACTGGCTCTAGAGTCCCTTACTACCCATTATGCTATATATTAGAAAGAAATACACAGGTTGAAGGTAGGAAATAATTACAACAGTGAAGTAAATTGGAGGGAGGACATAAAAGTCAGATGGGGTCAGGGGAAGAAAAAAGCATGGACTGTTCCATGTATGAAAACAATGGCAAGAATAGAGAGAACATTGATAGTTTTTTTAAGAAGGGAGAGAACAGATACATTGGGAGGACAGCAGAGATACATTGGGAGAACACCTTCTTCAGACTAAAACAGAAGGATTTCCTGATAATTTATGACTACTTGGAATTGTAGTGTAGGACTCAGTATATTTAAGATAGAGAATTTGAATACAGATAGATGTTAATTATGTTTCGGGATAGTGCAAGTGAAAAAAAGTGATATAAAAAGGTGATTTAAGAATCGAGCATGGAGGTTTTTAATCTCTGCCCTGGTTCATGTTAAACTCACATGCCATTTATTTTGCAGATTAGATTTAATTTCAATGTAAAGGTGAATGGAATCCTCTCTGCGGAAATCTTTGAGTAAGTCTTTAAATCCATGGCTTAAGTTTATGCCATGGCTCTACAGCTTTTCTCAGTCATTGTTGTGCTATTTCCAGTGGGTTTATAGTTTGATTTATTGACCCAAAGTCACTTGGAAACTAATATTCTGAGACCCACACATTTTCTTATTCTACATTAGCTTTTACTGAGTAAATAGATTCATCTAAACCTTTCATGTCGTTCCCTTTCACTAGAGTGGGTGAACTTAAAAATTGCCATTTCCCTGTGGTTAATTGGTTATTGAATTCCAGTAATCTCTGGAGGTGATAGTAGTCATATACAAAAATTTGTATCAGGCAGAAATTGGTTTTAGAATGTTTGAGATATGGCTTAGCTTTTCTTTGCTTTGCAGGGCAGTGAATGAACCCACTTTGAACCTGTCGAATGGAGTTGCACTTGTCGTAAACTCTCAGCGTTATGTGAGGTGAAGGGGTAAAAGCACTGTTGTCTCTCTCCATGTTTTACTCTCCTATTATGAGTATGAATGTGGGTAGAAATTGAAAATGGTCTCACCTGTCATTTCTTAGTGCCAGATGTCAGATTCTCTGTAAGAAAAGTGAAAGTAAAACTTTTAAGCTGTTTGTATTGAAAACTATTATTATTCCTGGCTCCTTGAATATATTCTGATTGACTTGGGGTGTGTTACTTGTCCTCTCCATACTTTATTTCCTTCTGATGAAACAAAACATACCCTGATAATTCCAATCTCATTTAGACATGAAAAGAGAGGACTGAGTTTAAAAGGTTACTCAAACTCTTGGCTAGAGAGATACTATGAATACAAAGGAATTCTTTGTGTATTATTGTTTATGCTTCACCATTTTGCATCAGTTTGGAAATCATCTCTCTCTCTCTATCTCCCTCTCTTCAGACTAAAAAAAAAATAAACAAAAAAAATCCATATATAATATAGAATAGACAGAGCCCTCTGCCTTGCCTTTCTGTGCTTACCGACTACCACAGAATCCAAAGCGAACATGAATTATAGCAAGAAAAAACCTAGCTTATGTTTAAGTCCAACTAATTTATTTATTTATTTTTTTAAAAAGATTTTATTGGGGAATTGGGGGAGGGGAACAGCGTTGGGAAATCGGGGAAGGGGAACAGCAGACAAGTTGCTGTCCTTTTGTTCTTCAGCCTAGTTGTGGAGGACTTTGCTTCACTGGCCCATGTTGGTATTATCATTGCGCTCTTCCCGGGTGAGGCAGATCGGTCGCCGGTTACTGGACCGCCAATCACTGCAGCTCTTGGCAGCTCACGCCGGCCGCCGGCCACTCACAGTATCTTACGGCAGCCCACTGCAACCTCACTGCAGCCTACACTGTCGCTGGTGACTCACAGCAGCCCAGCTCCAGATTGAGCTGTTGTTCACCATCTTAGCTGTTAGAGGGCACAGCGTTACTGGCCCTCATGTGGGATCCGAACCAGGGCCCTGCTGCTCAGAGCTGGCGTCCCAAGCCAGCTCTTAACCAACGTGCCACTCGGCTGGCCCTAATTTATTCTTTATTCAATAGTTTCTGCGTTCATTTATATGCTCTGAATCCGCACTGGTAGGCATAGGATCTTAAGGCTTGAAGAGACTGCCCATGGTTTTTTAGTCTGTTATCTTCTTACTCTTGCTCAAAATGACACCTGAGATTAGAATATTTTTTTTCTTTAATATGTGCAGGAAACAAAAACCCCACCCCATATCTTTCTTTAGTAATCTTCTACATTCTTTTTTTTATTTTATTTATTTTATTTTTTTATTGGGGAATTGGGGGGATGGGAACAGTGCTGGGGAGTTGGGGGAAGGGGAACAGACAAGTTGCTGTCGTTTTGTTCTTCAATCTAGNCTGCTACCTGTTGGCAGCTCAGCGGTTGCTCAGCTTGGGCTGGACTCGAACCGCTGTTGCTCAGAGCTCAAACTCTTGAGCGAGTTCTTAACCAACTGAGCCACTCAGCTGGCCCTTTGAGCTTCTTTTTAAAAAATGTTTTACTCATACCTTAATAATCTTCATATTGTTTCTATAACAAGGAAGAATATGCTCAATATGTGTATGTAAATTCATAAGACAATGTTCGGTGGGTTCATTTACCCATGAATATCTGCTTAGCTTCCTAAGCACTTTAATTTTGCTTAGTTTTACAAAACCCCTTGGAGACAGGGAGCAGTTGATTTTTCTAAATGAAAAAGATGTGGAGTTTCGGGCTTGCCTGAGGCAGCCCAGGGAAAAAGGCTTGACAGTTGAGAGTAGAACCCTACAATGGAACCTTAGTTCTCAGATGCTACAGCTGGCCCTCCCCTGGAAAACAATACTGACCAAGCCTCTATTATTGCCATGGGGTTACAGAAATTAATCCTTCATTTTTATGTATTTTTGAGTCCACATGGAGAGCGTAACAGATCTGGGTGGAGTGAACACACAAGTGCCAGGAGAGAGAGGATGCAAAGCCTTTGACAAGATGATGCTGCTGTTGGCAACCTCTGTACAGTTTGTTTGTACTTTGGAGTTCTGGCATTAATTATTTAAACTAACTTCAATGAACCAGTGTATCTGGTTCTAAATTGTTTTTATTAGAGAAAAATGGAAAGGGTGCTGTAGAAACAGGGAGAGAGAAAATAAATCAAACCCAGCTTGGCTTGCTTAACAAAGCATGCTATTTGTGTGATGGCCCAGCATGTCCTATATGCAAAGTTGGGACCACTTATTCTGAATGCTCATCGTCTTATACAGCTCCCTAAAAGTTTGATCACTTATTAAGTGAGATTAAATTTTTGGAAGTCAAAAAGCTCTTATTTCCTTGTCACTTGAGTATGGTGGTATGACAAGGAAAGATGAAACAGTAGGATGTTCTACGTGAGTTTTGTTTAACTCGTTTTAGCCAGTTTTGTACACTCATCTCCACGTCTATGTCAGTGCTTCCCATGGGCATACTCATGGGTTACCATTCTTTCTTTAGTAGTGCTTTATATGAAATGGCAATCAGAGCCCAATGTAAGCAGTCCGATTTGGGAAAAAACAAATGAAATCTTTTATAAGAGTGTATACTCGGCACTACTTCCTGGATCCAAATTGTTTGTTGCAGTCGAACATAATTATTTCAAAGAGGTTCTTTTGTTGTTTTTCTTCCTTTTAATTTTTTTCTCTTTCCCCTGTTTGCTTTTGTTGTTAGCTGAAAGTCTTGCTATCAGCTGCTTCAAATAATGTGACTCTGGTGCTTGGGCCAGATCTACTTACCAGGAGTTGAGCCATGTCAGTGTCTTTTCTTACAGTGTCTCAGAGTTCACAGCAGGATGGAAGGTGCAATCCTTGTGTATCAGAGAGGGGTTTTGTTTCTGAGAAGTGGCTTCCATAGGGATTCAAAAAACGACTAACTTTGAGCAGAACACCACATTAGAATATGAATTGTTCATATAGAAATAAATAAAATCTACACCCAAAATTTGGAAACTTTTCAACAAAAAGTAAGATATAGTTTATAGTTTAATGTCATGAGATATTGGAGATTTTATACACATGCACACACACGTACATATATGAAAAGTTTCAAATAATTTAAAGTATGCTTTTGTTAGTTATGAATCCTTTTGGTTGACCATAGTGACTCTCAGGCCTACTACCTTTTCCAGGGCTTCTGTAAATGGAAGGTACCAGATGTAGCTTTGGCATTACAGTTAGCCTCAGTTTTTTCTAGGCTGCATGAATCTGTCTTCTACTCTTGGAAAGCATCTCTTGACTTGGGCAATTAAAATGCCCTAAACAGACTTGGGAGTATACCAAGACGACCAGTCAAAGGGGGAGGGTTATGGGTATGTATGTGTTGTGAAGAGAAAGATATTGCACGAATGCCTAAAGTAAGCTAAGCAGAGCTTTTAAAATGCAGAGAATAAAAAGAGGGGCAAGGGGCATGATCCTTTAAAAAAACCAATCTTATAATATTATTACAGATTTTGGAATCAGAGAAACCTGGGTTGGAAGTGGCCTTCCACTTGTAGTGATTCTAGATGCACTGTTTACTGCTCTGAGTTCCAAAGCCTTTGCTTCCATATCAGAAAACTGTTTATCATAATAGCTACATAAAGAGGATGAAGGCAAAAAAGATGATGGAGAAAAATAAAGAAGTAAAGTGAATCCAAAGAAGAATAAGGAAGAGATAAGGAGAAATAAAAATTGGAAGATGGAAGAGATGAGGTATACAACAGGTTGTGACAATTAGGGATACTATATGAAAAGCACTTGACCTGGCATGGAGCAGATACTTAAAAAATTGTCATTGCTGCTACTATTATTGTAATTATGTTTCTAAGTGTAGTCATAGGTTGGAACACATAATTTGACCTGACACATGACTACATGACTACAACTATGAGATATTTTGGAACTAAACCATTTAACTATTCTCACATTATTCTTGCAAGGCCAGAAATATTTAAATATTGATATTTAAAGAGATATTGCTTAGACTTCTTACCTACATTAAAAATTATTCCAAGTTTATGCCATAAATAAATAAATAAACAAATAAAACAAAAAATATAAGAATAAGAGGTATGTCATAGAAAGTCAAGGTCAAGGTACTCTTATATCTTTATCTTGTGTGTGTGTTTTCTAAATGTTTTTGTGAATTCTTTGACATAATGAAATCTTCTAGAGGTTGTTTCATCCTCTGATTTTTTTTGTTTTAATTGAGGTAACATTTTCATCTTCTGATTTTTGAAATTTCCTTTAAATAGAAAACCCTTTCCTTGTTAAGATTTCTATAAATCTAAGCATGGTATAATTAAGTTTTAAAAATCAAGTAACCAATTAGAAGGGAATTCAGCTTGTGTTTAAGAAAGAAACCAGTTTATGATTGAGTAAAAGACATTCGTGAGGAAGAAAACAATTAATAAAGTGACTGAAGTGCCCTAGGGAAAAATTAGCTTACAATGACTTCTTGTACAGCCAGTCAAAATAGGCGATTCATGCAGTGACAGGCTTTACAGGAAACACTAAAAAGCCCAGATGGCTCAAGTTTACATGTTTACAGAGGAGCTGGGAAAGGCCGTGAAACACTGCAAGTGCCACTCAGTTAACAAGAGTTTTAGTTCTGAGGACAAGAAAAAAAGTTGAAAAGGGGTGGGACAGGACAGGTGAAAAGGAAAAGAAGAGAAAGGAAAAGAGGGAAAATACGGTGAAATGATGAGTTTGAAATGGGAGAATATAAAGGAGTAACATGAACAGAGGAAAGAGAAAGAGGGAGGCAGGAAGATGAAAATGGAATATGGAAATAATGAAAAACAAGAGAAGACTTGTAAATAGGCTCAGGTTTTCTAGTAAGTAATGTCTCGGTTTTAATTCCTTTGTATTTTATTAGATACAAGTGGTTCACGGGGAAAAGGGAAAGGAAATATTTTAAGTAAGTTCAACTCTGCACCATTCCACTGGGTAAGGCAGAACCTGGTTTTCATGGCACATTGGTCTCTGTTCACTGTACAGCACCCACTTTTATGATGGAGTTGGAATAGCTTTGGGATTCATCTACGATGTGGTTTGCTATGGCTCTGTGACAAAACCATTAACAAATGCCACCAAAAAACTAAGGTGTTTATGAAGAGTGACATTAAATTGTTTACATAATGGTTTCTCTAGCCAATGGTTGGAGTAAAATTAATTCTCAAAGAATGAACTGAGCAACCATAAACTTTGAGGAGGTAGAAAAATAATTCTGGTGTTTACAAACCTAATAATAACATAAATCAGTTTAACCTTCTGACTTCAGAACAGGGTTTCGCAACAGTGGCACTGTTGAGATTTAGACTGAATAATTCTTTCTTGTGGGGGTTGTCTCTGTATTATAGGGTGTGC